CGTTGCGTACTCTTCCGCAAGCACGCGTCAGAACGGCGAGTGGTCAGCAGTCGACGCCAACGGCGGAGACGAAGCCGACGACCCGGAGGAAGGACGAAGGAACAGCATAGTCCAGGCTCTCGCGACAGCCTATACCTCTCAGAGTCACACTTCCGGTGTGGTACATCCACAGGGTAGTGTGTTCCTGGCACAGGACGACCCCGAGTCTCCTTGGAACCCCCAGAGCCCTAAGTTCAAGGCTCGAGCTTGGGCAAAGGAAATCGTCAAGATGATGGCCGGCGAGGGTTCTTCGTTCCGAACAAGTGGTATCTGCTATCAGAATCTGAATGTCTTTGGATTCGGCGCCGGCACAGACTATCAGAAGGATGTTGCGAACGTGTGGCTTGAGGTGGCTGGCCTCGCCCGCAAGGTGTTTGGACACGGGAAGAACCGCATCGACATCCTACGGAATTTCGACGGCGTGCTTAACAATGGAGAGATGCTTGTCGTCTTGGGTCCTCCCGGATCCGGTTGCAGCACCTTTCTCAAGGCCATTTCCGGTGAGACGAACGGTATTCACGTCGACGACCAGGCCTACCTGAACTATCAAGGCTTGAGTTCCAAGGAGATGTTCACAGCACATCGAGGCGAAGCCATCTACACGGCTGAAGTGGACGTCCATTTCCCCATGCTCACGGTCGGCGAAACGCTTACCTTTGCATCCCGCGCTCGTATCCCGCGACAATTGCCCGAAGGGGTGATGCCTTCAACCTATACCGATCACCTGAGAGATGTCGTGATGGCCATGTTTGGCATTAGCCATACCAAGAATACAAGAGTCGGAAATGAGTACGTCCGGGGCGTATCTGGCGGCGAGAGGAAGCGAGTCACCATTTCCGAAGCTGCCCTATCCGGTGCGCCACTGCAATGTTGGGACAACTCTACTCGAGGACTGGATAGCGCAAACGCCATTGAATTCTGCAAGACTCTCCGACTCCAGACGGAGCTTTTCCGCACTACTTGTGCCGTCTCTATCTACCAGGCACCCCAGGCTGCATATGATCTCTTTGATAAAGTTGTCCTTATCTATGAAGGCCGGCAGATCTTTTTTGGCCCAGCAGACACCGCAAAGCAGTACTTCATCGATCTGGGGTATGAATGTGCGGCCCGCCAGACAACGCCGGACTTCCTTACTTCTATAACAAGTCCCAAGGAACGCATCGTGCGCTCCGGCTTTGAGACAAGGGCACCTAGGACTCCGGACGAATTCGCGACGGCGTGGAAGACGAGTGACCACTATAAGATACTGCAGTCGAAAATTGAAGAGTACAAAATCGCACATCCCATCAACGGGCCCGACGCAGACACCTTCCGTGCTCACAAGCAGGCTCAGCAAGCCCGTGGGCAGCGCGCCAAGTCTCCGTTCATGTTGTCCTATGGCCAGCAGATCCACCTTTGCCTTGTGCGTGCGTACTGGCGTCTAGCCGGTGACCCGTCTGTCACAGTGGGCCAGCTCATCGGCAACGTCATCATGGGATTGATTATCGCTTCCGTCTTCTACGACCTAGAACTCACGACAGATAGCTTCTACCAACGAGGCGCTCTCTTGTTCTTCGCCGTCCTCATGAACGCATTCAGCTCTGCCTTGGAGATTCTAACCTTATACGCCCAACGGTCCATAGTCGAAAAGCATGACCGATACGCATTTTACCACCCTTCAGCCGAGGCCGTGGCATCTGCATTGATGGACATGCCCTACAAGATCCTCAACACAATTCTGTTCTCTCTAGTTCTTTGTAAGTCGCTGTCCGACTGGAAGTTTACCTGGCCCCCAACGCTGTCTAAGCACATTTCCGCCGAGCTCCGCCTGTATAATACGCGTGGAGAACGGATGCTGATTGCAAACGATAGACTTCATGACCAACCTTCGCCGCGAACCTGGCGCCTTTTTCTACTTCCTGTTGGTATCATTCCTTACGGTTCTAGTCATGTCCGGCATCTTCCGATCCATTGCTTCAGCATCTCGCACTCTATCGCAAGCCATGGTACCTGCAGCGCTCTTGATCCTAGCCCTCGTGATGTACACTGGATTTGTCATCCCCATCGATTATATGCTCGGGTGGTCTAGATGGATGAACTATATCGACCCTGTCGCCTATGCATTTGAGAGTCTCATGATTAACGAGGTACTGTTCCTCGTTGGCAATTGTTGACCGCACCTGATAAGAAGCTAACATGGAACAGTTTGCCGGTCGTGACTATCTCTGCACGGCATACGTCCCCAACCCGGCCGTTTCTGGATATGAAAACGTTGGTATCGAAAATCGCGCATGCTCTTCTGTTGGAAGCGAGCCTGGAAAGGACACGGTGGCTGGGACGGACTACATCACATCTGCATTTCAATATTATCCATCACACAAGTGGCGCAATGTCGGAATTATCATCGGATTCACCGTGTACGCAAACCCCAGGTTTCCGCCTCGCTCTTACATTCACTAACAGGGTACAGCTTCTTCAACGCCTTGTACGTGGTGCTGACCGAGATCGTCCGCGCCAAAAAATCCAAAGGTGAAGTTCTTGTCTTCCGCCGCGGTTACAAGCCCGCCCAGTTCAAAGAGGGGAAAAGTGATGCGGAGGCTGGCGTCCAGATCTCTGCAGGCGCCAGGGCAATTACTGCGCAGACAGATGAAGAGAAAACTTTGGATGATGACGCTGGCTGTATCACTGAGACCGCCAGTGTTTTTCATTGGAGGTAAGCCCTACCATACTCGTGATGTCAAGGGTAGTGTTCACTAATGTGGCCCCGGCAGGAATGTCTGCTATGATGTCAAGATCAAGAGTGAAACTCGCCGTATCCTCGATCATGTTGACGGATGGGTCAAGCCTGGCACGCTCACGGCCCTAATGGGGGTATCTGGTGCAGGGAAAACTACCCTCCTCGACTGCCTGGCTGACCGAGCAGCGGTAGGCGTCATCGCCGGCGAAATGCTTGTCAATGGGAAGCCACGTGATGCTTCATTCCAGCGGAAGACCGGATATGTGCAGCAACAAGATCTACATCTGGAAACCACAACCGTGCGGGAAGCCCTTAATTTTAGCGCCCTCCTCCGTCAACCAGAGCATATCCCGCGACAAGAAAAGCTCGCGTACGTGGATAAGGTAATCGCGCTGCTCGGCATGCAAGAGTACGCCGACGCCGTGGTTGGTGTACCTGGTGTGGGCTTAAACGTGGAGCAGCGAAAAAGACTGACTATTGGGGTGGAACTGGCTGCCAAGCCTCCCTTGTTAGTCTTCGTTGATGAACCTACATCTGGCCTCGACAGTCAGACGTCCTGGGCAATTCTCGACCTTCTCGAAAAGCTCACTAAGAATGGGCAAGCCGTCCTATGCACCATCCACCAACCGTCCGCAATGCTCTTTCAACGTTTTGACCGACTGCTTCTCTTGGCTAAAGGAGGGAAAACAGTTTACTTCGGAGATGTCGGCAAGAATTCCGAGGTCATGACAGCATACTTCGAACGCCATGGTGCACCCGCCTGCCCTCCTGATGCCAACCCTGCTGAATGGATGCTTGAAGCGATTGGCGCAGCCCCTGGTTCAACTAGCGAGATTGACTGGCCTACGACCTGGCGGGAGAGCTCTGAACAAGAGGCGGTTCTGGCCGAACTACATCGCCTCGAAGAAGGCCTAACACTCGTACGGACACGGACCCAGGACAGGGCTAGCTTTGACTCTGAATTCGCCGCTCCCTTCTTCGAACAGCTCCGGGAAGTCACGCATCGTGTATTCCAGCAGTACTGGCGTACGCCATCCTATATCTACTCGAAAGCTTCTCTTTGCATCCTCATCTCAGCCTTCATCGGTTCGTACCCTCGTCCATGTTCACTGAAACAGCTGGGTTATTGACCCGAGTCTAGGATTCTCTTTTTTCGGTGCGCCGAATACTCTACAGGGCTTACAGAACCAGACCTTTGCAATCTTCAACCTCCTAACAATCTTCGGTCAACTTGTACAACAGACAATGCCTTATTTCGTCGTCCAGCGTTCCCTGTACGAAGTTCGCGAGCGCCCATCCAAGGTCTACTCATGGAAGGTCTTCATGTGCGGCCAAATTATCGTCGAAATTCCCTGGAATACCCTCATGGCAGTCTTGATGTTTGTCTGCTTCTACTATCCGATCGGGTTAAACGAAAACGCGAAGCCAGCAGATCAGGTTACTGAGAGAGGTGCCCTGATGTTCCTCCTCCTATGGGCTTTCCTTATGTTTACTTGCACCTTCACGGATTTCATTATAGCGGGTTTTAACACTACCGAAGCTGGTGCTAATGTAGCGAATATGCTCTTCATGATGTGTTTGATGTTTTGTGGTATTCTGGCGAATCCTGATTCTCTCCCCGGCTTCTGGATCTTCATGTATCGGGTCTCACCATTCACCTATATGACAACGGCGATGATGTCTGCGGCCGTTGCGAACACCAACGTGGTGTGCGCTGCTAACGAGCTTGTCAAGTTTGCAACCCCGACAGGCCAAACCTGCGGGGAGTACCTGAGCGAGTACATCCTAAAGGCAGGCGGGTATATTGAAAACCCTGACGCAACAGATATTTGTGCATTCTGCACTGTCGGGGATACAAACAATTATCTCGCAGAGTCTAGGACATATTACAGCGAACGCTGGAGAAACTTTGGTATCTTTTTGATATATATTGTCTTTAATATGGCGGGCGCCGTTTTTATCTATTGGTTAACTAGAGTGCCTAAGAAAGGTCTCAGTAGGAAGCAGGAATAAGCTCTTGGAAGGAAGAATGAAGAGGTTTTAGCGTATATATTTTTATTAATTGTATCTTGCTTGTTAGAGACTCTGCTTTTTTCTTTCTTTTTTTAATATTATAATCTTTTTTAACTAAGTTAACGTAGTTCATAAGCAAGTGAAACACATATGCGAGTGAAACACCTAACCATGCCTTCCCCCCTAAATATGAAGATAAAACAACAGCAACACATAAAATCAATTAAAATCAATCGCTATCCTCTTTCTCAGACATTTCTACATCAGCCTGGAAAGTGCGCGTATTATAGCCGGGTCTCCTGCATGTGCCACATCGCCGTTACTTCATCTCCGTCCGCCTCTGCCGACTACCACTTTGCTGTATTTCCTTATATAACTGCTCAGCAATTTCCTTCTGATCTTGCAGCTCTTTACCCTCACCTACTGTCATGCTTCCTAAAAGTCAAAGACGTATTTTCTTTGCTCTACGCCGCTTGCTAAGTGTCCTATTTGCCTCCCGAAGGTCCTTATTCTCAGCCTTCAATAATACTAACTGGTATATTATTCCTCGCGCCCCCTTTGCAAATTAATCCATAGCAGCCAAAATCGATATCGAAGAGCTACCCTGATAACGGCTGATTCGAGTCTTAAGAAAATCAGTCTGCGAAGTACCTTTCGATTGGGTTATTTGGGGTCTTTGGAACCCAGATGCTGGGCAGTTCGGAATCCCCCTCCGCAGGCGACGGAGTCCGCAGCCTTATATCCAAGCGAAAAAGCACATTTCTGGATTATAGGGAATAAGTTCTGTATCTCTGAAACCTTCCTGGATATTTTTTTCCGATATTGCGCTTTGGAATGCCGCTTTAAATACAGGAAAGAAGTCAACCTTTATAATATGCGTAATTCGGGCCTTTATTATATTCTCAATTTATCAACTGTAGGCCTACTTGAGCGGCCTAAAGCAGCTAATATCAAGTAGCTGGAGGATATAAGATAAGTATAGCGGCATATATAGAATAATAATATTATTATTCTTATAGAATAGTTCGAATTCGGTCGAATAGTGGCTCTAGTACCTATCTAGGATAAGGAGACGATATGAGCCGGACGAATGCGTCTTTAAATACTTATCGAAATATCGGATCTATTTTAGGCCTCTCTTATTTATTGTCTAGCTATTATCCGAGGTTGCAATAACCCAGTCTTATAGTAGAGTTCTTTTATTATACCAGGCTGCAAGGTGATATTAACCTGTAATAATAATAAACAGCGGGATCGCCCACCCTTGGGAATTAACGCCCTGGATTATAGTAACCTATTCTCTATTTTCTTACTGGGCTATTTTTAGTCTTCTATATTATTCGGCGCTTATAACGACTATTCCAGTTAATATAATACCTATTATAAAGCAGTCTTATTAAAGTTATAGATATCTAACTCCTAGATACTATATTTTGCAATTATATTCCGTATAAGCTAAAACCAGCCCCAAATAATATTGGAATCTTTATATTCGGCCCTCTGATAGTTATACCTACGCGTAAAACGCGTTTTAATCTCTAGTTATTACTTAACAAAGTTCGAGGCCCAGCACTTGCCGACTGGAGGCGCATCGCGGTCGGCAAGCAGTCAATTAGCCATATCTTCTATATCGCAAAGCGGGGGAGGAAATGATCGCGCATCTAGGTCGAGGACATATTTGTCAAATATTAGGGTGAAAAATTGTGTATTCTCCCCTCCCCCATGTCTTGAGGTTTCAGGGCAAGCTTTATATACCCTTTCTCTTCTGTATAGAATCAGCTAGAAGCTGATTGCTAAGCCTCGTGGCAATAGGTGGCAATAGGTGGCAACTTTCGCCTCTGACTAATCTGACAATATTCAATAATTGTCTTCTCCTCTAATTCTGTGAGCCTTCGCGAATTGGGCATGCTGGCGCGTCGGGAAGCTCTCCCCTTCAGGGTTGCAAACCACTCCACTAAATCCACGAGCGGGAGCAGTAACGTAGATAGACCTTAATCCACGAAGCTTGCCAGTATAGTAGATCTATTTAAAGCGGCCGTGGACGTAGAATGGATATAGTAGATTAGTAGATAAGTCTATTATATTAGTATTTTGGAGTTGTGAAAGGGTGAAGCTATTTCTAATTACTTTCTTCTTAGTAGTACTCCGCTATATTCTTAAGCTATACTATTACCTACTCTTAAAGCTTGTCGTCTATTATATAAGTTATCTTAAGATTATCCTACTTTTCTGCTACTGAGATAAAAAAAAAAGGGTCTAAATCTCTAATAATACCCGCCTTAAGCTATAAATATAAGACCTAATAGGTCCTAATAATCTATACTTCAAGCCGACTCTGCAGAGGTATTATTATCTGTCCTGCTGCTGAAAAGAGGCATTTATACTCAGCTGATATAGGCTGGATTATAAGAAAGTTAAGGGCTATTTATAATAGGCGTGGATACTTAAACCTTTTTTTATACCAATAAGTAAGAGGGTCACGACCTGGGTATTACCACTCTTATAGTTTGAAACCCAGTATTAATACTCGTCTTCAAATAGCTCGGGGCTGTTATTACCTTACGTTGCTAGTACTGCGCAGCGGTTTTCTTTAAGGTATTCTTAGAATAGATTGCTGTACATCTTCCGCCGTTTCGGAGCTGGTTTTTCGCCATCTACAGCTATTTGAGGTAAGCTGGTCTTACGATACTCGTAGTGCTATATATCGTGAACGATTCGCTTGGCTTGACGAATCCATTCAGGGTTGCCGACCCACTTGCAGTCGAACCACTTCCAGCGGTACGCTGGATGTGTGACGGGACAAGAGCACGAACGAGGTCGAGTGCGACTTGGGCAAAATGATTGTTTACAAGGAGAGAAGAGATTCCTAAGGAAAGCTCTGACTTAAGCTATTTACACAATATTCATAAAGTGAGACTATTCATAAAGTATGAAAGTCACATGATCGTTCCCTCACAGTAGCATTGAATAGGCCATTTCTTGCATACGAGCTGAGCCCTTGCCTCACCCTCACAAGTCAAATACCACTGGTGTCTCGACCCCCCTGTGAAGATCCCCGGATCTCAGTTCCGTGGAATTGAAATGGAGATTGAGGGCTGGTGACCAATTGCGTTCCGTATTGAGTTCCATGGGGGGGAGGACCTACAATCACGTTTCATGATTGGCCATTCTTAGGTCACGTAATGCACCTGGCCTTGAGCCAAAGAACGTAGTCTAACTCTATGGATAGCAGTGGCAAACCGAGCGCCTGGGAGAGGTGAAGCATCGGTATTATGTCAACAGACCCACGTCGGCCAAACACGATGCTCTCCCACTCCCTATACCAGTACGTCACACCAACAATATTCCTAAATCTGAACTAAGCATTGCTACGAGAAATGACTTGTTTAGCTGTGGCACTGCTTTGATGCCCCAACTCACATCATCTTGCATTCGCAGCGGCCCTCAATCGCCATCGTTTGCCATGGCTGAGAGCTCGGCGCAGCCATATACGACGCAGCGTCCCAATGGAGTATCTCATCCCCGATCAAATGGTCGTCGCGGCCGAGACCGCATCCGTACCAGGGCGCTTGTAGCATGTCAGTCCTGTCGCACTCGTAGAGTCAGATGCAATGTCACAGAGTGCGGCGCGCCGTGCACGAATTGTCGACTTGATGAGCGCGAGTGCGTACTCGCCGCATCACGTACGATAAGGTGAGCATTTCACTCACTCTTCACCTACCCCGAAGTCTTGAAGATATCCTCACATGTTGTATGGAAGCTACTCCAAAATACCCGGGCTAATCGTTCGTATAGTGAAGGCAGGAGAAAAGGCCACGCTCAGTCACGAGTACACCTACCCGATAGGCTACCTTCACTCACCGTTCAGGAAGATGTTCCGAACCTTCATGGTGAGTTTCTCCAGTCTTTTGCAAAATGCTACTTAGAGTTATTCTCACCAAGACTAGATAGAATAAATGAGGAGAGGTCAAGGCTTGAAGAATGCGGCCAGAGTACTTCATTTGGTGGTTTCACCACTGACACGTCATCTGTCATTCTCGAGCGCCGGTTCACTTTTGGCGAACCCTTCAAAGGTTTCTTCCAACCTCCTTACGCCATACTGGAGAATGTCTCGTCATTGATGAGCCATCTTTCTTCGCACATAGGGCCCGACGAACTTGCGTACCTGAAGAACAAAGGTGCATTAACAATTCCCCACACGAGTCTTCGCAACGAACTGGCCAAAGCCTACATCGAGTTCGTGTATCCTTACCTGCCCTCCATAGACTTGTGTGATTTCCTCGTGGTACTAAATGGACATGAGATGGCTCTGAGCAGCATGAGCTTAATCCTTTTCCAGGCCATCATGTTCGCCGGGGCGGCATTCGTGGACATGTCACATCTCAATTCCGCTGGGTATTTGACAAGAAAGGCAGCGCAGAAAGAACTATTTCAAAAGGTTCGAGTATGTTATCCCCGGGCAAAGATTAATCGAATACCGCTGACAGAGATAGCTCTTGTATACTTTGGATTGCGAACCGGACCGAATTTCTCTTATTCAAGCTCTTCTCACATTGACATTCTATTATGAGACTCCTGACGACCAGAAGGATACGTGGTACTGGATGGGCGTGGTAGCTTCCGAGGCGTATGCGCTTGGATTGCACCTCGTACCAGAAAAATCAGCCACAAAGGACTTCAAGCTACGGAAGAGGATTTGGTGGTCGGTATATATGCGAGATCGAATGATTGGGCTCGGTATGCGCCGTCCATTTCAGATCTCCGAGGACTATAATGTTCCAATGTTGACAGTGGACGACTTCGAAGTCGCTGAGATTCCGCAACGCATTACATGTGTAGCTGCAGATTGCGCAGTTGCAAGAGACCCAGTGGTGCAGAGGCGTCTTGCGACTATGTGCATTGCCAAAGTCAATCTATGCCTCTGCGTTGGTCGTATTCTGTCCAAGCATTATTTGATCTTGCAACGGAACCAAGGTGTCGCAACTGATAGAACCTCATCGTTGCTGGTACCTAAAGAACTGCATTGGGAGACGTCAGACATCAGGCATTGGGACGGGGAGCTAAATCAGTGGCGAAAGAATTTACCGGAGAATCTTCTGCGACAGGAATCGCTCACCGAACACAGGTCTATCAACCTCCATCGATCTTTACTTCATATGATCTTCTTTGCAGCGCTTTCTACCTTACATAGACCATGGGCAATGTCGCAGACTCCACCACGGCCTTTGGCTTCTCCTGCAGCTCTTCTGCAGACCGAACAGTCGCGCGAAATCGTTCGCCAAGCCGCGACAGCGATCACAACTATTGTCAAGAGTCTGGATGATGCCGACTTGGTTCAATATTTGCCACTGACCGGAGTCACGGTCCTTCTCCCAGCTCTTACAGCCCACCTTGTGGACCTGAAGGCAGCTGAGGAATCGATCCGGGTGGCAGCATCGTCCGGGTTCTTCCAGTGCATCCAAGCTCTGAATAAGCTGCGAGATCTGTACTTTGCCGCAGACTACAGTATCGCCCTCATTGAACAAGCAGCTTATGCAACCGGCAATGACACTGCCCGTATCCATGTAGGCTTCGATTTAGTCAGCCGTGAGTTAACTAGCTCGGACATGGAGACTGAATCAGAGGCCGCGACGACGATGGTGAGCTCTGCCAATAAGACGTCGACTGTCCATGTGACCCTACCTGCGACAGACAACGTACCACCTGTAAACGAAGCAGGGTACTTTCCATAGTATTGGGTAAAGAATGACACTCCGAGCTGGGGTTGGATTTTGTCTGAGCATGTTGCTAAATCAAATACTGACAACACACCTTCCCTGTGGAGGGGTTCTGGAGATATTTAAATGCGTACGACAAAAATCACCCATAATTTTAATAAACTAGCGTGAACGAATCGTATTTACTCCTTATACCAGTGAGCTAATGTGGGCGACGTGAGGAGAAAGAAGTACGACTTCTCGCCACCATGTAGTATCTGAAAACCTAATCCTTTGCATCAACGCGGGTCGTCGGGGGCAGCTTGACCACAAGTCGGACGAATATACTTTCTCCATTCTACGTCAAAGCAACATACTAGTAACGAATTGTTTGTCTCCAACTTGGACGCATGTGACCTCATCAGGTGTCATAAGCCAGATCTCGTAGACTGAGGTTCTTTCACTGGGCTAATAATGTTAGAATTTCTCACCGCTGAAACGGATAGTTCGCAGCGAGGCAGTCAGGTTTAAAGTCGCAAAGGCATCCAATGGTCCAAGTCGAACGAAACATCTTGCTCACACAACTCAATGTCGACAGTTGACATTGACCAGTGCGCATGCCCACAGTGGGGCCCTTGGATTCGCTTCATAGTTTTTTCACCCCGTTATATTTGCTTTGGCTGATGGCCCATGACCCACAGGATCTGCTTTCTCAGAACCCAGATTATCAGATGGGTTATCTGTTTGCGAGCTGCATTTGCCGTAGTAGCCGATTGGTTGTACAGATGTTGTGGAGGCTTTCGTCCTCCCCGTGGTTGCGTTCTCCACAGGTACGATAGTCTTGGATATGGTTCCCCGGAGCAGGAGGTGCGGGTGACTCCAGGGATGTAGTCAAAATACAACTTAGCGGCAGCATTTGCCGTGGATGACAAGCCGAGGATGATGGACCTAGTCAAGGTCACTGCCGAGAGGCCGAAAAATGCTACATTTAGTTCGCTCTCATTGCTAATGGACTAGAATTGAGATTACGTATCGGCGGTTATTGGAGCTCTGCCGCTTGCCATTTGTGCCGACGCCCTCTGGTCACTGAGTCAATGCAACAGACATTTGGAGCTATTCACCTTGATTGTTGTCTCGTCGTATGATTCTTTTCATTCTTCCGTCTTTTAGTTGAGCTATACTTGCATACACTCTTGTTCGCGGACTCTTAGACCTTCTTAGGCTCCGAAGATGCCGTTCAAACCGCCGCCATGGGTACCTGAACTTCAAATTGACCCTCCGGACACGATCTCTATTGCGGACTTCATGCTGGATGAGAAATACGGACGTCGTGCTTTCACCGAATCTAGGGCGCCTTTTATCTGCGGCATCTCGGGCAAAGCGCCTTCTGCATTTGCCGTGAAAGAA